AAGTTAACTGTTCAAGCCTGTGTTCTATTAATGTTTGACTTCCCTTTCTGCTAATCAAAAGCCTTCCATCTTCTCATGGAGCTTACTATAAAAAGAGTACAGGCATGTTCATTTCACAGTGCTGCCTAATTCAGGATCCTGCCCTGATGGTAAATCCAGAATACTACTGACTTTAGTGTTTCCTACCTAAGACTGCCAGCATTGCAATAGGCATCATTTCTATTCTATGGTTTTTGCAGTTGGAATCTATCTTCTGAATTTAAAGGAAAATAGATGCCCACATACTTTTTCATTTTTTTTTTTTTTTTTCCCCTGGAAAAATTTAGGCAGGTCCACATCCAGTAGACTGAAAAGACCTTCTAACTCTTCATCAGACATGATGTCTGGGACAAGGGAAGATCATGTCTCATTCAGTGTTACTGAGGATGATGTATGCAAGTTTAGGACCTTGCTGTTGCATATTATGTAATCTTAAAAGGACTTAAGTCTGGAATTTGTGGAATAAGAGGAATCTATAGCCTTTGATCTCATGAGTTTCTATGAGTGTAATTTCTAAGAGCAGTCCTGTGGATATTTGTTGGTACTTTAGTGTATAGAGCTAGAGCTATTCCTATTTCTAACCAGGAAAGAAATTCCCAGAGGCATTAGAAAGAGGAAAAACAGCAAGGTAGAAAGCACTTTCTTTGAATCATGCTTTTCATCTTCACTTCCAGAAGACCAGAAGCAGGGAGTCATGGCCAGAAAGGGTCATAAACATTATGACACCATTTTGCAGCATCTCCTAGTTTGGACACTGTCTTTAGGAATAGAAGTTGTAATGATCTATCTTTTAGCTGTGCTAAATGGAAGAGAATTAATCACCAGGATTAAATGAGTTTGCTAAACTCTGGGATGTCAAAGCCAATAGCAATACAGCAGTTCAAACATATGATGTGGTCTTTTTCTGTTACATACACAGCATAGTTAATGTGCAAATGCACAGTAGTTCTGTTTTGCTAAATGGCAGACTTACTGTGCTTGCACAAAAGAATGTTACATGTGAGTAATAGATCCAGCATTTTTTTGGAAGCACAGCTTTACTGCTCATATAACTACTCACAGCGAGCATGTGCTCATAGCCTTTGATATCCTACTTCTTGTCTGGTTCTGCAAAGCACCCAGGAAAGAGGTTGGCTGCCTGCTACAAGATTTCCGAACTTGCTTTGTGCAGAGACCACTCTGTACAGGAAGGAACAAGCTGCGTACTTTAAGAATAACTCTAAAGCCAGGAGAAAGCTGCTTGCAGCTAACATCCTTCTTCCATCTGTCAAATGAGAGAATGTGTTCCCATTACACACTGGGAGAAGGAGCCATACACTGAGCATCCCACACAAAACCAATCTTTTTTCTAATCTAAGTTCTCAGATAAGCTAGGATAATTCTTATTTTCAAAAACATTTTTAGCTTTTGAGGAACCCATTAAGAAATCACTTGCACATAGGTCTGGGATGCTGAAATAACTTGACAAATGCTCTTTAGTTTCCTATGTCACTTAAGTACAGCTAAAATTTTATGTCATGACTGCTAGTATTTTCTTAGTCAATTAAGCATATCCTGCACACAGCTTATTTCCCAGGATCACTTTTTTTTTTTTTTCCCCTCAAGTCCTATACCTGCAGCTTCAGTACCTTTTTGGACATTGTCTCCACCTAAAATCTTCTACCTCTAAAATCATTCTCCAAATATTTATAGATTCCATTCTTTTTAAAAGAAGAAATACGAAATGCCATATCAAACTCTGCTACAAATTTGCTCTAAGACTGATATCAGGTATAAAATATTTCCATTTCAAGAATTAACTTTACAAATCAGGGTTCTACTGGAGTGTCTTAACATTATCTAATAATAATAAGCCACAAAGTGCTCTAGTTAATATTAATGTGAAATTTGAATAACTTAGTTATTAGTGTGAGAGGAAAATTTGGGCTACTAGCTCTAATCCAACAAAAATAAAGGGTATTTTGAAAAGCAGAAATCTAACTGAAAAATTTCAACTCTACATAACTGATGCAAACATACCAAACACAGAATCATCAGGGAAAAATATTTTGAGAAATCTGGGTAAACATACCTTTTTATACTGGTTAAACACTGCATTAAAAACTACAATAATTAATTCATCTATATTTGGACAGATATGTGGTTTTTTTTCTCATTTAAAATTACTTCAAGCTCTAGAAGGTGGTTCCTAAACAGGCTACTGGTGTTTGAAGTATAGAAATTCATCACTCCTTAGGAAGCTGGCAATTATGAGTATAAAGACAGTCTTTCTTTTCAGCCACGAAATGCCTGTTGCATTTTCAGACTGCAGAGATGAATGTTGATGAGAAGAGAATAACAAAAAGAGCTTTAAAAAAGGAGTATTTTAAAACCTTGACAGTTGATTTGTTGCTTGATTTAGAATCATAGGATCATAGAATAGTTAGGGTTGGAAAGGACCCTAAGATCATCTAGTTCCAACCCCCCTGACATGGGCAGGGACATGTCACACTAAACCATGTTGCCCAAGGCTCTGTCCCACCTGGCCTTGAACACCACCAGGGATGGAGCATTTTACCCTCCAAGCTTGTTCAATACTGCCTGAGTATATGGCTTTAAGTAAGTCTTGTTCCATAGATAATTTTTAAAGCACTTAACTTCCACCTTAAAATTTGAGTTAAAAAGTATCACAAGACATGAAACATTAATAGTAAAGCTAAAAATAACATCATCAGCAATGTTATTAAGTACTAAAACACAAGGATTCATCAAGTTTTAAATTAAATGAGGAACAGAAAAGAGGTACATGTTCAAAACAAACAAACTAGAATTTTTATCTAATGAGATTGAAATTGGTAAAGCTTCAATTATGGCTTGAGATCTTAAAATATTTAGATGGTATGCACTATTTTGAATGCATGATGACAGAGCTGAACTTATCAACAAACAAACAGAGATACTGAAATATTTCTCAGTTCCTTGCAGAATGTGAAATTTTTTTAAATCTTCAGAAGGCTGTTGTGAATACAGCAAGGGTGGGTTACATTAGATAAAATCAATTTGTGGGCCCCATGGCTATTCTGACAGCTGTGCATTCAAAAGAACTTGGTTTTGAATTGGAAATTATGTATTTTACTATCTAAGCTTTCTTGTATTGCCAAGTCATTTAAGTGAAGAAATGTGATGCACAGCTTCAGCATTTGACTGTGTTTGTTTTGGCGTAACATTCTTGCATCAAAGATATTAAAAACATGGTCCTTAGGAATTGTTTTTTGTAGTTCAACAGGGAAGCTGCTAAAGTCTACCTCTCCCATTATTCAGTCCATGCTTCAAGCCATTCTGTCAATTATCTTTGGTTCAGAAGATGTTCATTCTTCCAAGTAACTGCATAACCTTCTTGTTCTCAACTGGTTTCCAGAACACCTCTAGATCTTGGCTCTGTCCTCCTTTCTCACATTAAGCATATTTTAAAAAGACCTCAGTTGGAGTTTTATGACAGAATCTGGTCTCAGCACTAGAATACTCTCCAAAAGCAGATATTATTAAAAATGTCTTCATAAACACAGATTACCAAGTGCAATAAAATTATCATATATTAACAATCCATTCATTAATTTCAAAAACTTTAAACAAGAATACAAGAAAGCTGATCTCTCTGTGAAAAACAGAAAAAATACATAATCAGTTAAGAGTAGGGATTAAGATTACAACATTTTGTTTAAATGGTAACATTGATGAAAAATTCATAAATTAATAGTTAAACCTTAAATATCTATTTTAAATAATCAATGCTACTTTTATATACCTTACTATTTGTACCATTTAGCTCAGTTGTCTAATACTATATATGGAATATTATTGCCTTTAATAATCTTTGATATTTCAGTGCACAGACTCTTATTGTAGTCATATATATATGACTAACATATCCAGATACAGAAATTGTTCATAACTTTTATTTTTTTCCCATACAAAAGAAACCCTTGTTCTCTTTTACAAGTGATCCACCAGTAAGCCCCAATGCATTAAAAAGCCTCTTCTAGCAATGTCAACCTCATGTCTAGGCTAAAAAGTCTTTTAATAACTCTTCTCATTCTCCAATATTACTAAATTGCAAGCAGACTAATCTCTATTTACCTCAATTATTCTACATGTGCTCTTCATGCACTTTATGCTAGGTTTTATTCCAGTCCTAGTATTTTGCACTAAGTATCTGCATCAAATATAGCAGCCTTCTGACCCTTACTGGTGTCTACTTCTCCTCATTCATTCTCTTTATACAGATTTCCAAAATCAAATAGTAAGTTATTCTGCTGGGTGCACTATGTCTCTTGTTTAGAATGCTAATAGAAGCCTCCACTGATATATTTTGGCATGCAGAATATAAAACCAATCCCCTTCTATCACCAATTTTAAAATCTATAGTTTTAACCAGCTAGCACCAAAAATGATTGGTAAAATGACTGTAAGTCATTCTGCCCACAGCCAAGAAGTAAAACTCATGTACACAGCAGCAAATCAAATATGAGGCCTGCAGGAAGTCTCCACAGCTTACATGAAAGGCAGATATGAGGAAAACAAGGTTTCATCCATGGCTTTTAAGAATACTTATATAAGGGGCAAAGTATTTCCAGGTCAACTGCTATGTAAAGATAAACAATCTGGAATTCTTTGACAGCCTTATTTGCACATACATAATGACAGTCTATAAAGAGATTGAAAAGCCTAAAATAAATAAAATTAATTCTAAACAGCCATCACTTCAAATTACAGATTTTACTCTCCCTTGCTTTGTTTGCCAATTATGTCTATACAAAGTGAGTCCAACGCAATGACATTACTTTATGCCACATTTGCATATGCAAAATCATGTCTACAGAAACAGTAGAGCATTATCTTGACCTCTGTTCGAAAAAGTGTTTTAAATAATGTGAAAGCTGTAGGTGTTAGATCCCTCACTTGGATAATAACAGAAACTATACCTTTGGGAGAAGCTGGATTGCTTGGAGTATTCTCTGTCTGTGTCCAGAGTTAAGGATTCCTATTTCCAAGAGATCCTGGTCCTCCATTACGTTGCTTCCCTAAAAATGGGGGGAAAAAAAAAAGTGGCATACAAATGAAAAAACAACAGATGTCTTTAATAGCCTGAAACAAGCCCTTCTGTTGCATTTAAGAAAGAACACTTTGCTTAACTTACAGTATCTGACAAGAATCATAAATTACTGATGACTGCATTCATTTTCACAATGACAAAAATATGGTGGAAGGTGCTTGAGCTCATGGACAATTACTCTACTGCTGGCAGCACTGCGAGTGGAGAAACTGTAGCTCTCACTCAAGCCATATACCAGATATGAACCTTATTCCATTTGAATGGAACCGAGGACATGACTACAGAAATGTCCAGAACCTCCTAGTTTTTCAATTCCCCTCCTTTCTCACTCAGGTATACATGATGGTAATTTTTCTCCAGACTGGAAAATAATTAACATAGAATAAAATGAGCAGAGTGGATGAGGATAAAATTATTTAGTTCCTTGTTAGAAAAATAGTGAAGAGAGTGGTATCAATATACCCCAGACAGTCCCCATTCCCCTAAATTTTACTGTACCAGTGCAATCCTAACTTTACCTATCACTGTTCTTATCATCCTGCTTGTGGGCAGGTCAAATAATTCATAACATGCAAACAGCTGAAAAAGATGATCTGTTCAAACAATACACAAAATAATTGCCCCAAAAGTCCATAAAATAAGCCTCTACAACTCAAGCCTTTATTCTTAGGAGTTGCTAGCAGTAGGGAGAGGACCTATAGCTACACAAACAGGATAATATCCTAAGTTCAAAGAGTCTGATACCACCTAGATAGTTAGTTGAGCATTTGAAGGTTAAGGTACTTGATTAGCTGGCAGTGACTATCTGGAATCACAGAAGGCACAACAGTAGCTGAAAAAAGAGAATTGCAGCCAGGGATCAAATCAAGATTGTTCAAAGTAGGCTGGAAATCTTGTATTCCTTTTTTAGACTACTTTATTTCAGACTAAACCTCAGCTTTTAAAAACATTTATTTTATTTTTAAAAGCTTCTAACTATTGCAGTTGCAAACAAAACCTGCAAAAAAAACAGATAACCTGTTTTGAACTCTTACCCCTGTTGGAGTTTTATGACACTAATTTGCTAGAAACAAGAATTATTATTTTTACTCATTTAACATTATCATGAAATAGACTTTATGTGAGCAAACCCATAAAAACTTCATCTCTACCTTTCCATTTGGCTTGCTGCTTCTGACACAATAGAGCTCTTAAGCAGCAGCAAAATGAAAAGCTAATAGGAGTATAACAGAATATGCTTAAATACTTTGCTGAATCAGGGCTTAATAATGGATACGAATTCTTTCTGAATATCAAATCTCCTGTTCCACAGCAACATAGCTTTCTTTCAAAAAGCACACTGGAATATGCAATACTTCACCCTGTTCAGCTGCTAAATCTTCACACTTTTCAGATGGACTGATCAGTTTACAGATGTACTCTTGAGAACTCTCAAGTGCTACTCTGCAGAGTATCCTGCAAAATCTAAGGGGTGTTTTTTTAAGGCAATCATGGAAACTTTGCAAAGCTATTACATTTAAAATTATATTTCACAGTAAGTGGTATGATTTAAGACTCAAGTCTGCAAATCATATCCTGAAAGAATTTGTGGTGCAGCATTCAGAACAGGAGCAGGCAGAGACCTGCTCTAAAGGGAGAAACCCTGCAATCATGCCGGTTTAAGTAGATCACATAGTGACAGAATGCAGGCAGCACAGGCTGTGCAAACAGCGATAGTGATGAGGTGGGGTTAACACCCCTTCATCTCCCTGGTAAACACATATAAAATATAATTCCCCCTTTCTTCCTTTCTCCTTTAGGAGAAACCTAAAGGAGGCTGTAAACTCATGGGAAGAACTGGGTAAGAAACCTTCCTCTTTGGGCTGGATTCTCCAGCTGCTGGAAACAGCTAGTATAAATGGCTTTAAGGAAACTGAGCCAACTGAGGATCCAGTCCAAAACAAAGGCTGTACATTTTCATTCATTTTAATAAATGCAGCTATTTTGTTTATAGCTATTGCTTTCACTTCATTTCACTGTTTTTCATATTTCACCTTTCATCACTGCATGTTTATGTACAATCATGGAGTACTCATCACTGAGCTACTACACACTGTTTACTGTGTGTCAGTAACCTTGGCATCCATCTTCAAATATGGCATTGTTTAAAACCTAACCCAACTAATACTTAGGCACAGGAAAAATCATAGAAGCTGTATAGCATAGAAAGCATTATTTTATTAATTCTTTATTATTGTTTTTCTTTATATGTTAGTTCGTACCTTTTGTTTCTTTGCAGCTGGTATTATATATTTTTTTAAAGTATGTCAATGTTACAAAATCAAATATTTAAAACTTTAAAAAACCTGGAATTCACGTGGCCTCCTTGTCTCCAGTCTAAGAAGGTAATAACCTGATCTTTCAATGTGCTCAGGTTCTGGAGCTTCTGCTGTGTGTTACCATTAGTGTCAACAGTAGCAGACACTCATCTCTCCTGAAGACTTCATTGTCTCCTGCCATGGAGCCAAACCAGCTTTTCATCTGTCCACATGAGCAAACCAGGAAGCTTTAGATACTCAGTATTATCCACTATTGCTTAATATAGAGGACTAAACTGACAGTAGTAGAAAGCTGCTGTCTGCTTTGCAGATATACCTGTGAAGAGAAAAGAACAGTCCCCCATATTTCTATTTCCCTGGTGTCTGCTCCCATTCCCTCCTTAATCCCAGAGCTTTTTTTTTTACTTGATTACTCTTGTACTCCTCCAGTCTCCTTCCATAGTCTCCTACGTTAAGAGTGAGGAAAACCTAACTTCCTTCTGTGGCAGATCAGAGACAAGACAAGACGAGAAATTCTCTCCCTGCTCTTAGCTGCCATGCATACATTTATTATAAACTGGTCACAATTTAACCTTTATTAACTTTACAGAGATGACACAGTAAGTGTAATTAAAATGAATATGAATGCAAGAGTGTCTTTTCACATCATTTTAGACTTAAAAATAGCTGAGCTACATTAGCTGAAACATTCATCAAAAAGAAATTATTCTGTTAAACACCTAGAGAATTCGAGTCCAAAGATTTAACTTCGATATGCTTATATACAAAACAAGTTCTTATAACAGGAAATATAGGACAGCAGTCTCTACTAGGGTTATTATGCTTTTATTATGTAATAAAAACTTAAGAGGCTTTGTGATATCGCAGTTTCTTAAGTCTGTAGGAAAACTTGGAAGGAAAACTCAGAATTAAAGCAAAAAGAATATATAAAAATTTCTTACACTAAGACAGATTCAGATCTCATTCTCTTCAGCTTACACTGTTGAAATTCCTGTCCTGTTAATGTACAACATGTAGTCTTACTTATGAATTGGAAGGATCCTGCTTCTGAAGTTCCGGTTAGGAAAAAGTGTAGCTGACTGCCCACCCCTGTCCCCTCCCCCAAGATCTGTGGTTCTGCACAACTCTCAGGAATATCATCTTTTTGCCTGTAAGCACATAGAGGAAGCCAATCTTCTGAGTAAGAAGTCAGTAGTTTCACAGAACAGTTGGGCTCAAGAAGGAAGGAAAAACGACTCTGCATATGGGAGACTGGAGGCATATGAAAAACAACACAATTTAAAAACCTAAGAAATTTTGCCAAAATCTGAGATAGTTCCTATAAATAAGTTCAGAACAAAATACATAATGGTACACTATGAGATAAAGATTTTACTGGCATTTATTTGGGTTGTTCCACACAAATCATCTCTGGCACTCTACACCTGAAGTTAATATCGACTTTCCTCAAAATGCTGGATTAGACCTTTATGCCATATTCCAAATGTATGTAAGTACAGATATTTGTATAAAGAATCTTTAGAAAACAATTTAATTTGGAGTATGTCAGATTTATAGCAAAAAAAAATTATTCTTTTTATTAAAACCAGACTAACTTCAATAAATTAAACAGCTCAGAGTCTTTAAAAGCCAAACTAAAAGATTGATAAACTTGTAGACAACTTCATTTACTATGAAAAAAGAACTTCAAGATTCTTAAAAAAAAAAGACCAATACATATTTTACATCCTGCAGGAACAGAAGCACTTTGTCCCTGAAGATAATAAACCATGGTGATTAGAAGAACATACTGGGATGGCAGGCATGATTGGATGTTTCTCATTGCCCTTCTTTTGTAACTATGTTTTCACTCTTTCTTCACATATTTTCTGTGCTGGAGATCTGTGGTGAAAATTTCCAGCATCTGGTTCTGTTGCCTAAGTACAGGGGCTTTAAAACAGCTGGCAGATAGAGTAGACTTATCTGAAAATTCAACTACTGAAGTTGGAAGAGATGGGCTGTAGGGAACAAACTACCTGCATATGCTTTTTGGTCTTACTGTTCTTCACCTTGTCTGATAGATTGAAAACCTGATAAAGGTGTGAGACAGGTTTCATAGATTTTCACTGCAAAGTTTGAGAAAAAAAACTCAATAGGTAGGTAAATGCATATGCACCACTTTATAATGAAGTAAAAACTGACTGAGAAAAAGAGAAAGAACAAGTTAATTTTGCATTTAAGGCTTTTTTCCTGCTTACAAAAGAAAAACCTGTCACATAAGAAATAGAAGATTTAGGAGAGTTCTGGCTATAGGCTGGCAATGCCAACTAAGCCAGCTTTTTCTATGCTCAGCTATATCAGTCAGAAGAGGAAAAGTAGTAGATCTGGTGCTTAAAGCTGTGTAAGAGCTGCTACTTACGAGGTTGAGTTGAATTCACCTGCTGTATAGGCATTATTGAGACCAAGTTCAGCTGGAGGTGAGAAGTGCTACTGGGCGCTGGCATCAACTTCTGGTAACTTTTTTATACTTCTGGTGTACTGGAAATTTGTTTGCCCAAGAACAGGGTTAGTGTGGGTTAGGGAAA